CTGTGGATGTAGGGTATGGGTGTACCTGTGGATGTAGGGTATGGGTGAGGGTGTGGCTACGGCTGTCTGAGTGGGTGGGTGTGGGTATGAGGTGTGGGTGTAGGTGTAAATGTGTGGAGAATGTGGGGGCTGTAGAATGTCGGTGGGGTGTGGGTATCAATGTGTGGTAGTGTGGCGGATGTGTGAGGGTGTGGATGTCGGTGAAGAGAAGTTCAACACCCAAATTCACCTGTGTCCACACTCACACCCACATCCACACTTCATAGTCACACCCACACCCACTAGAGCCCTTGGGTATTACTAATTTATGCTAACACCACTAACACCCAACTTTGTAAAAACGCATATGGGTCATCTTCACTAACATTCACAACTTGGAGAGTTATGTGCACAAACACCCACTAACACCCACTTTGTCCGACTCCTAGAAAAAATAAACCGTTAACAAAGACCAAAAAATGACCCCCTTCAACACTAACACCCAAAATCTCACTTATAGTCCACACAAGCACCCCAAGTTGTATTCACTAACACCCACACCCTCTATAATCTACATTCTGACCCGAATAAGTGCCATCCCCGAATAACTTTTTCTTATAAACTTTTCTCTAGAAATATCTCCTAATATAAAGAAAACTGGATTTTACTAATTGGGTATTACTAATATATGCTTATAGCATAAACACCCAACTTTGTAAAAACGCATATGAATCATCTTCACTAACATCCACATCGTGGTGAGTTATGTTCGCAAACACCTACAAACACCCACATTGTCCGACTTCCAGAAAAAATAAACTGTCAGCAAAGACCAAAAAATGACTTCCATCAACACTACCACCCAAGATCGCTCTTATTGTCAACCCAAACACCCCAAGTTCTCTTGACAAACACCCACAGAACTCTACAATCTACATTCTGATACAAATATCTGCTATCCCCGATGATGTGGGTGTGGGTGTCTTCTTTTGTTCAAGATCCTCATCAACCCCACACTCACACCCACACCCACACCCTCAGGGATAGCAGATATTTATATCAGAATGTAGATTGTAGAGTTCTGTGGGTGTTTGTCAAGAGAACTTGGGGTGTTTGGGTTGACAATAAGAGCGATCTTGGGTGGTAGTGTTGATGGAAGTCATTTTTTGGTCTTTGCTGACAGTTTATTTTTTCTGGAAGTCGGACAATGTGGGTGTTTGCAGGTGTTTGCGAACATAACTCACCAAGATGTGGATGTTAGTGAAGATGATTCATATGCGTTTTTACAAAGTTGGGTGTTTATGCTATAAGCATATATTAGTAATATCCAATTAGTAAAATCCAATTTTCTTTATATTAGGAGATATTTCTAGAGAAAAGTTTATAAGAAAAAGTTATTCGGGGATAGCACTTATTCGGGTCAGAATGTAGATTATTGAGTTTTGTGGGTGTTAGTGAATACAACTTGGGGTGCTTGTGTGGACTATAAGTGAGATTTTGGGTGTTAGTGTTGAAGGGGATCATTTTTTGGTCTTTGTTGACGGTTTATTTTTTCTAGGAGTCGAACAAAGTGGGTGTTAGTGGGTGTTTGTGCACATAACTCTCCAAGTTGTGAATGTTAGTGAAGATGACCCATATGCGTTTTTACAAAGTTGGGTGTTAGTGGTGTTAGCATAAATTAGTAATACCCAGAGCCCTTCATCGGGTCCAAAAATGACTTGCTGGACCCGGTCAAAGAAATGTCAGCCATTCCGTCATTTTTTGTGCTAATACATGATTCAAACGTTCATCTTGTAGGGAAATACTTTCTCTTTCATCTCATCTATTTAGAGAAGCATTAAAGTCCTTCATAGTCGAAATTTTTTAATAGAGAAAGTTCGGATCCAGACTTGCACCCGCTCGGACCCGGCAAGTTCAGACACGGAGTTTTTCTTTTAAAAACTTTTGACTATCATGAATTCTAATGCTTCTCTAAATAGATGAAGTGAAAGAGAAAGTATTTGTCTACAAAATAAACGTTTGAATAACGTATTAGCACAAAAAATGACGGAACGGCTGACATTTCTTTGATCGGGTCCAGCAAGTCGTTTTTGGACCCCATGAAGGGCACTAACACCCACACACCCACGCCTACACCCGCACCCACACCCACACCCGCACTCACACCCACACCCAGACCCATACCCACACCCACACCCACACCCACATCCACACACACCCACACCCCACACCCGCACCCACACCCACACCCACACTCCACACCCGCAACCACACTCCACACCCACACCCACACTCCACACCGACACCCACGCTCACATCCACATCCACATCCATACCCACACCCACACCCACAATACGCAGTCTTACAAAACGTAAAATTGTTAAATTTATGGATGAGTCATATCAATAAAGTCGTATAGAAATACATCTCACCCACACGAACACCCATTCATACCGACACCGGTACCCTCATTTTCATAGGAATAAAAACCATGGTGGATAGTACATCAAGCGTGGGCAAATAGCTTCGAGAGAAGAGTTCCTTCGAGGATATTGTTCGTCGTGCACCACTATGCCTCCGGCTAGCACTGCAGCCCACCAACTAAATGAGCCAGAACTAGCTATGACATCCGTGCATAGAGAGAGCGTAGCGAGATCTGCAGCAGCTGAGAAGTCATCTGGTGTGACGATGACATTTTTCCTATGTTGGAAAGTTTTTCGACAATAGGATTTTTCGTCGCTTGCCACGATGAACATCGTTCGATTTTCATAGCGTCTGGTGAAATATGCAATCGCTTTGTCAAGAAAATCTATGTTCGACACAGTACGACCAACTCTGAATGCATTTTGTGCTCGAAAATCTCCTCGCCGAATATGAACTCCTATCCATGTGACTGAAGACGTCATTTTGATATATTTCTTAATGGCGTGGAAGCTTGTATTATCATTGGAAGACAGAGGGTTGAATAATAGCGAATTGGCAAAAGGAAGGATTATTTTAACAATACTCGGTTTGAAAGAAAGCAGAGTCCTAATTTCATCAATGTATCGACTGAAATAGCCATGGGCCTGCCAATAACCTTTCAGTTCGAAGTATTTCACCGCTTCTGGCCTCATCAACTTTGCATCAAAATCACATTCACTGTACTGCGAAGTGATATGCTGTTTTTCCAATAAGGGAGTGCTTTCTGCATTCAATTCATTCGTTAATTTTAATTCGAAAATTCCACGTAACTCTTTTAGAATGCCGTTTCCGATATGTAGCGAGCATCGATGTATTTTGGAGAGTCCAAATGCACTCGCAAACATGAATAGACGGTTTGCCAAGCGTCCTTTGGAATATCGTACGATTATAACACAGTTTGGCAGGGTATGAAGGGGTAGAGA